CTTTGTCTTTTTGTTTGACAACACTCTTCCAATTATTTTCCTTAGTCAGTGAACCATACCAACTTTAGCCCAGGCATCCATGCCAGAAACCAGGCATATCCTCTTTTCTTCCCTCTTCTTTGTCAGCCTTGCCTAGCTGGTCACCAAAGTCCTCATCATTTTTAGCTTGAACTGTCCTCATAGTAACCAACCTGCTTTTGTTTGTTTGTTTCTTGTTTTGGTACTGGAGATCAAACTCGGGACCTCGTGCTTTCAAGGCAGGTGGCAGTACCACTGAGCTAAATCCATGGCCATTCTAATCTTTCAGTTTGTTCCTAAATAGTAATAGTTTTTAAAGTATCTTTTGTAAGCAGAACTCTAAAGTTGTTACTTTTTTACTTGAAATCAGTAGGTGACATTTTTGGTTTACAATGTAAAGTTCATAAAAGTCTCTTCATGACCTAGCAGTTCTTTCTTCCCCAGATTCTCTCCTCTTTCCCCTCAACATACATACTCTGGTGTTGTTGACCTGGCTTACCTGATGCTTCAGTCATCTGGAGGTTGGCATTTGTTGTGCATGTGCTCCTCGCATGCTTATCTTGACCTTTCAGCAGCATTGGACACCTTTGTACACAACCTCCATCTTGAAACACCTTTGCTTGACTTCAATGACATCATTCTTTTTGGACTCATCTCTTACTAGCTTGGTATTTCCCTCAGTGTTTTTTGCTGGACACTCCTCTTCTACTTAGCCTTTTCTTTTCTTTTTTTTTTTTTTCTCTGCCCCTGCTGAGCTGCTACCTGCATCCGGGACAGCACTTTCTGAGCTTTTTTTTTTTTTTTTTAACTTAGCCTTTTCATGTTGGGCTTTCTTGGGGTTTAATTTTATTTTGTTTTTCCTCCTAAATGTAAATTTAGCTCTTCTCTATATAGAAGTTATTTGCTTTGTTATAAGGATGTTTTATAGTTAGCAAGAGAGTTAGATAAATCAAATACAGTATTTTTTTTGTCATAGCTATTTGATCACCATAGTAAAGTATATTTATCTATAGTTTCAGCCAGTGAGAACCAGTATAATATGCTAAAAAGCACTAGTTTTCACCACAAAGGAAACTGGCATCCCTGGGTGCTCTCTTTATTTGAGGGAGTCATATCCTCCAGTGTTCTGCTTTCTTACTCTACCCTCATTTTGCAATTGTATATAATGATTAGATTTTAGCACCCCCAAAAAGGGTGATCCTCACAATTCATCAAATACATTAGACCCGTCTGCACAGTTTACTAAATTAGATTGAATGAGTTGGTAGAAATTAGGGCAAAATTTGATTCTTCATGTAGAAGGTAACTCTTCTATGGAATAAATTGGAATTAGTAGACAAACTGTTCATTATAGATGAGGTTCCTGCTGGGAATTATTCTCAATCACTAAGGCCAGAAGTATTTTCACAGGGAAGAATTAGTGAGTAACCAGATGTTGTCTTAAACTTTTCAGTGATGAAAGGTGTGCCAGGTGCTCATTGGACTCCTCCACCTGAATAGCTGGCTCTTCCGGCTGTTTCTTGACATTCCATTTACAATACTCAAGAGATATAATCATTGCTAGTCATAAAGGCAGGAGTCTGATTGGAATGCTATGTCAGTTTTAAAGAAGTGGTAAATGAAGACATGAAAACAACCTTGCCAGAAATGAATCAAAACTATCATAAAGAAGAAAATTTAACCTTTAACATAGTTAATTTTTCAAGTGAGATTAAAATAATATTATAATATGTTTTTACATTAATTGAATATAACCAAGATATTTTCATTTGCAGCTTGTCTCTAATCTGTGTGTAGAAAGAAGAAATTAGAATCTGTCCCTTTAATAAAACCTTGTTTACCTAGCCTCCTTCAGTGGGCGTGGCTTAGGAACCTGTAGAGTCAGGTATAACTTCCAATTCTTCACTCTGACCTGCAGCTTAGAGAGTGCAGATATTACAAACCAGGAAGTGACAAAAACCGTACTTTAAACTACACTAGAACCTGTCTTTTACAAGGAAAAACATCTTATAACAAAATTAGGAAATTGAAGCAGTGATTTTGCATAGTTGTCATTAAATATTTGAAGCTCTGCTGAGGATAAAGACTTTGCAGCATACTTAGAATACAAAGCTTTCTGGGCCAGAAATTGATCTGCTGACTTTTGAGCCTTATCTGATTACCACCTGGTTTATTTTTATTGCTGTTAAACTACTCTGTAGATTGAAGTGAGGAGACTCTACTTGGTGTGCGGGTAGGTGGTCAATTTTTGTTTAAAATTTGTGTTGGTTTTTTTAAGTTTACTTAGGTAGATTGGTTTTGCTTCTGATTACTGAAAATATTAAGAATATTAGGCTGGACATATTTCAGTGTTTGAATGTTCTGCATAGTTGCAAATAACCTTTTTATGGCAACTTCATAGGAAAAATCATTTTTAACAGATGAGCAAAACTACAATTTGATGAATTAAAAGAATTTTGTTTTGTCTCTGAACCTATTTATCTGTCAATCTATCTACCTATCTATTAATTAGTAGGTCAAAGAGTATATAAAATTATCCGGCTATTAACTTCATAATATTTGTTAAAAATTTCAAACATGTATTTATGTAGTCAAATAAAATTGCATTTTTGTTATTAGTATTTACCTATGACTTTCATTTCTTTCACTGTTAGTAAGCTGTATGAGTATTCATCATTGGTTTATTTGTTTGCTTTAGCCTGTCTTTAGAAATGTCTGTTATTTCAGAAAAGTTTTATGAAAGGTTAATCTTACACAAGTATATTGAAATATCTGCTTGCTTCTCTTTATAAAGCTAACCTTACTTTTATTCTAAAAATAGCTCAAACATAACATTTTCTACCATTAACAATCCTTTTTATTTTTCTTTTCTGGAAATTGTGCTTCAAAGATATTGCCACCAAATAAGTGGTTATTTAAATAGTAAAACATAGCTGTGTTTTAGACATACATTATTTTCAGTGAGAGTTGATCAGTCTGAGATATCCACTCTAGGTTAGTGTAATTCAGCTCAAAATAGAGAGACTTGCTATTTTAATTGGCCTGAATAGCTTTAGTGAAGGTAGCTATTTGGATATTTTTGATGTGAATTTTTATTCACTGCTCTTGTAGTATCGTAGTAATGCAGACATGGAAGGTTGGGAGTGAGCAGTCTAAGGTGTGGAGAGTTTTTTCTGAATGTCTTTGAGGTTCTAGGAAAGGTAATGATCGTCATCAGGTGTAACATGACAAACAAAGATATCATAGCTGGACAGAAAAGAAAAGGAGAGAGAAAAGGAAATGGTACTTATTGTAGGGAAAATTGTGGAGGAATTCATTAGCATGTATAAATTTTGGTCCCATTAAGTTTGTATTTATCTTAACAATTTCCCAGTTTTAAAGTTTTTGATCCCATTAGGCTGATAAACTTATTAACTGACTTAAAACCAAATACTGTTATGATTATGTATTTATTATATATTTTAATGTTAATTTCCCCTCCTCATCTTTTCTCACATCACCCCGCTTCATATCTTTCTTTCCCTCAGTTTAGCTAGAAAGCCTTCTCCAGTGTGCAGCCTTATTTGATCATCCTGATCCCCAGTGATATTTCCTTCTTTTGGACTTTCATATTATGTTAATTCTCCCAGCACTTTAGTACATAGTCACATCTTGTCATTTTAACTTGAGTGTTCCATATCTCTTCATTTGTATTAGAAATTGTCTGAGGGTCAAGAGCTTAATTTCTACATCATTTTTATACCCCTTATCGGGCAGTGCAGCCATACACATTCAGTAGGTACTCAGTAAGTAGCTGTAATATGAGTGAAGGAAATACTCTTGTTGACAACTGCTTCTAGTGTAATGCTGCTTCCCTCTGATTCGCTTAATCAGATACTCAATTGTAACGCTAAAAATCAGACTGTTGGTTATCTACTATTATTGTTTTTATTTTGCTGTGTAATGCATGAGTTTGTTATATTTGGTGATTTAAATACTGATTGATATACTACCTATAAAAAAGGACAAGCTGGACATTAAAAAAGAAATCAAAGAAAATATTTTAACACCTAACCTCTTACATTTTATATTTCAGGAAAATATAATTTAAAGTGTACTGGTATATAAAGTTGTAGAAGCTGTTCAAATATTCAAATATATTATGGATGAAAGTGATGGCTCTGAGATGATATTTAGGACTTTGATGATATTTAAGACTTTCATAGGAAGCTGGTTGAATTTCATATCAATAATTGCCAGAAATTATGAATAAATCATTTTATAAAAAGAAAATATTAAACATTTTGACTTCCTATTTATGATAGTTTTTATACTGGATCTTAGCCGAAAGGCTGAGAAGCGATTATGATAGTTTATGATTATGATTATGATAGTTTTTTATTACGTACTTTAAAATCATTGGGCCAGGGATTTAGCTCAGTGGTTCCACCACTTGCCTTGCAAGTGCAAAGTCCTGAGTTTGATCCTTGGTACCAAAAAAAACCCCAAAAACAAAAAACATCATTTGCTAGGTGTGGTAGTTCCACTCTTGGTGTCTCAGCTACTCTAGAAGTTGAAGAAGGAGAAGGCAATAAATTGAGACCCTATTTCAAAACATTTTATCTATTTCTTATATCAATTCTGTAAAGTGGGTTTTATAACTCATTCTTATAGATACAGAAAATGGCAGTATAGAAAGAACAAAAAACACACATTCAGTAGTTGTGTCATAGGTCCCTTTGATGTCAATGTTTGTGTTTTGAATTACTATTATATCCCCCTTCTCTTTTTTTGAGGTACTGGAGACTGGGCTATATTCTCAACCCTTATTTTAAATTTTATTTTGAAACAGGGTATGGCTAAGTTGCCCAGGCTGACTTTGAACTTATAAATCTCCCACCTCAGCCTCCAAGTATCTGGGATTATAGCTGTGTACCAATATATAAAAGGTGTCTTATCTTTTATATTTTTAAATACTCAGTGTGATGTTTCTGTTATTTTAGAGTCTGACCAGACAGGAATTCTGGCAACTGCTCCAGCAGAACTATGGCACTGAGCTAGGTTTAAATGCTGAAGAGATGGCAAACTTGTCACCATCAGTTGAAGATAATGTGCAGCCAAGGTACAGCAAATGTTTTGAAATGTCAAGACTTATTAATCATTGTACTGGAATTATTTTAGATTCTACTAATTCTGAATTTATATTAATTTTTCCTTGAGTATACTTTCCCTATGTTTTCTGTCATGGAATGAGGTGAAAGGTGGGAATAGGTAATAGTTTGCTGAATAGGTAAACAAACATTGGACATATAAGGGAATGTTAAGTATATATAGTTATTCACATAGGATCTACTTAATGCTTAGCCTTAGGAAGCCTTTTTATTAAGGATCTGGGGAAGTACATGGTGAAATCTTTGGGTTATGGATGACAGTAAAATATGTTAAAATCTGATTTGGTGCTATAAATTTGTAATCCCAGACCTCTAGGCAGGAGGATTGCAATTTTGATCCAAGCTTGAGCAACCTAGTATCTTGGAAAGACCTTGTCTAAAAAAAAAAAAAAAAAAGTTTGAGGATGTAGATCAGTGTGAAGGCCTGGGCACAGGAAAAAGTTAAATAGATGGTAGGTGTTTTGAGAGATACAATTGGTTGGCACTCTTAATGAAAAGAGCTTATAGTATTGTGGGAATGCAAGTGATTAAAATAATACAGGATAATAGCCATAAAAGAGTAATAAATAATGTGAAATTAAGAGTAGAGAAAAAGTATTTTTTTTCCTTTTTACTGAGGTTATTGGTACAATCTAGGTATACAAATACAGTTACATTCATCATTGGGATTCTGTAACTTTACATAATAGGTCTTGATTCTCATTTTTCCCCTTGTCCCTGCCCTCCCTTCACCCCCTCCTCCCTTCCCCATTTACAAACACTTTATTTCCATTTTTTCAGTTTCTCATACATTTTTCCTCTCCCTTATTACCTTTTCCCCACCCTTCCCACTTTCCTTACACCTTTAGCCCTTTACTTCCTATTTCACATTATTAATTGTCTCATTAGGATCCTGTGTACTATTATAGTTTTTCACACCAAAGAAACTATTCGGTATTTCAGTTAAAGGAATCTCT